AACCCCACTTGGTCATGATGAATAATCTTTTTTATGTGTTGTTGGATTCTATTTGCTAAAATTTTGGTGAGGATTTTGGCGTCTATGTTCATCAGTGATATTGGCCTATAATTCTCTTTTTTTGTAGTGTATTGCCTGGTTTTGGTATCAGGGTGATGGTGGCTTCATAGAATGAGTTTGGGAGTGGAACCCAATTCTTTAAAGAGCATGAAAGGCAAATAAAGCACATGACTCATAAGAGATGTAGAGGACAACTTGCTTAGAAAGAGATTATTTCTAATATGAAAAAATAATATGAAAAGTGAGCATACTAACTTAAAGGATAGCTCAGGTCAAGAAATAGAAGGAAACTAGTGCATAAGAAATAGGAAAGTTAGTTAAGGGAATAAATAATCTAAGAATTTTCCTTAAAGTATTAGAAATGGAGGGTAGACTAATTCTATGTACTATGCACAGAGTCCAAGAAGATTGGAAATGGGTTTGAAGATGATGGAAAAGAAATTTCCAGACTCAGTTAGTTCTACCTATAGGCATGGTCAAGCATAAGAAGGGATATAGCATTCATGAGTGAGGGCAGATTTCTTGAGTCTGCCTTATGTCTCTCAAAAGAATGTACCGATAGTCAGAAAGCCATGCAGAGTAAGTAAATATGCACATCTGAGGAATTCTGAACACATAGCTGCCCTCACACTGTCTGAAATAGTCAGGCCATCACACATTAAAAAAAAAAATCTATGCCATAGAAAGTGATAATCCTGCTATTCAGGATGTGCTGTCCAAAAAACCTAGGTGTTTAGGGGAGTTTCAGGTCATTAAATTCTTGATGCACCATACTTGGCAATCCTTCTGATGCATCTGAAAGACACTTTATGCCACTTCTTATTATCTACGCCTACTCTCCAATACCTAAAAATGTTCTCTTTAAGTCTACACAGGGGCTTTTCTAGCAAAGACGAGGTGATGACCTGCACACCACCTTTTTGTTAGCATATAATTTATTAAATTTGTCCCATATGAACTTGCTAGTCTTCATGAATATCACGTGAAGGGAGGAGGGATCTTGGTTTCATTCAGTGATTAATACCAAGCAATACCTGAAAGAGGAGGTTCCCGATAATATTTGTTGAATAAGAAAATAAAGGAATGGAGGTGTCATTTGACCTCTAACACATTCAAGTAGATATAATAAACCATTTTATAACATGATTTTCCAACAGTAAGATTACTTTGACTTTTGTATGAAGTAGAGAAGGTGGTTTTTATATTTGAGGTAGCAGTCCTTCAGTCATTGCATTGCCATTTAGACATACAACATCTGGATACTCCAAAGTCTTATGGAAGCAAGTGCAGAAGAAATTAAAGAAGTGTTAACTGGTAAAATTTTAATGCAGATAATATAAGGATGATGCATTAAGTGGAAGGAACCAGTAGATGGTTCATATTTTTTCTGAATGCAAAAGTCTATGATTTGTTCCTGTTAGCATTTAGATTTTTAAAGAGGAAGAATGCTGTCTACATTTGCAACTTTAATTCTTGGAGTTTACAGAATAAGAGTGATCTTGTTCCTTTTCTTACTTATCCTTTGAAATCACATATTTATTGACAGACACTAGAGAAAATATGTAATCTGACTAATTTCTTTCTGCATTTGGGGCTAAATTATGCTAATATTTTATTTGGGGCAAACCTTCCATCCCACTTGGAATACCTGACTACAAAGGCTTTGGACGCTGAAGCTGGCTTCAGAGACTGCTGCTTCTGAGTTTTAGGAACCTTTTTTACCTTCCTATTTGCTTCTGGAGAGAACTCCTTGTGGTGAGTGGATGAGTGATCCCTGTCATGAAGCCCATGAAATGGTCTTTGTGGTTTAATGAACCCGTGTTTAATAAGTGTAATTATTATCAAGTAAACAGAAAGCAATTATAAAAGTCCTGGATTCCCCCAGCTCCTTTAGCTTTCCAGGAAGCACATGGAAAATAAATATTGAACTAATTTCCTGTCTGCCCTATGCTGTGCAAACATGTGCTGGACTCTGGGATACCAGAGTATATGCCAAATTCTCATTTCTTTCTCTACCAGATATTTCAGGTATCGTTGTACTGGGGAAAAAAGGAAATGAGTGGAGAAATTTATCTGTTGGAGAAAGCTTTTCATTTAGGACTCCATAATGGTAGATCTTCTTAAAAGAAGTGATGTAAAAACCTTATTTTTATCTACTTCTTTCAAATCATATCTGAAAGAAAATGCTGGATATGAGATGTCTGGGCTAATGAATATACATTAAATGGGTTGGGAAAAAACAACTAGGAATAGTTATAAAAATACCTATTTTAAATGTATCCTATGAATATATTGCATATGTTATGCATATACAGGCCAGTGCAGTAATAATTTTCTAATCAATTTGTAGTCCAGTGAAAAGAGCTTGGATCAGACCATGAAGCAATCTAGGGAGGAAAAGAGGTGAAGATTCTTATTCCTGTTCTGACATCAACTAACTCTTTGACTGAAAGCAGATATCCAATTACCTAAGATTCAATATTTTTGTTTATAATATTTGGGAAATAACACCTACTTCAAATTGGAATAGCAGATGGAATGAGACATGTGGATGTATTTGAAAATATCTATGCAGTTACGAGTGTTACATATTATATAATACGAAAAAGAAGAGAAAGAGAAGAAGACACGGTAGAAATTCTAAGGAAACCACTGTCTTCTATACTACGTTTTCTAATTTCCTCAGAGTGTATCTTTTTTCTTAGTCATCAAGACCTTGGAGTTAACCAATCACCGTTTTCAGGAAAGTTTGAAAATTGCCTTCTTAGAGAAGGCCTAAAGCTTTAAATTCAGTGTCTTCCCTAGTTTAAATATCTTGACTTTAAAAGTAAAACCAAGATAGTTCAGACCACCCTATGTAGAAAATAAAATTTTCAGTAATTAGAAAAAAATATAGTTTCTTAAATAATCAAGAATGTCTGCAATAAATTACACAAGCAAATCCCAAGCCATTAAAATGAGTTTTAATAATCCAATTGCATTTTATTTTCTAGGAAAGTCAATATTGTATAATCATAATATTTCAATCAGTAGAAGAAGCAAAATTACCCTAAATGATAATTTCATTAGTGCCTATGAGGAAGTCAATAAAAGAGAAGCTCTTCTCCTTGAGCATATATCCAACTTCCTGATCCTGATTGTCCAATTAAGAAACTTGCATCGTTAATTCAAGTCAAGTGATCGATACACTTTTCAAGTGTAAAGCAGATAATCAGCTGTAGCAGAGTCTTGCATTTATTAAAACTACAATGTCAAAATATGCCAATATTTGCAGGAGTGATTAGAAGAGCTTGCTAGATCAGATTTCTTTGTAAACATTGTCCTTAATGTATTTTATTCCTGTTTGGCTCCTTGATCTGTGCAGGGATAAACAGAGCTGGCTAAAGTGCATTCACTGAAAGAGAAAAATGCTGTAATGAATGGGTTTTGCTGAGCCTTCACTGAATAGATTGCTTTGGATGTTCAGATGCTATTACCTTATTTAAGGGAAAACACACACTTATATTAGGAAAGCACTAAATAAATTCTGTACGCTGCTTTCTGATGTCGAGAACAAAGAGATGCCCAGACTCAGACTACACATAATTTGAAGTCCAAAGACAGACAGGCGACCAGTATAGCAGAGTTTGATGGCCACCATTTAGCATGAGTTTCATCCTGATGCTGGTTCTGCTCATGAATGATAGTGGTCTGCTAGAGGTAATTGGGAACTTGTGTAATTTTTAATTGATGGCTGTGCAGGGAGAGGGAGAAACTCCACCACGGTTGTGGAATATCACTCTTTACTTTCAGTCTGATGGCCAGTTGAAACCACAAGTCTACTCCTGCACCAATAGCAGTCACAAAGGAATTTCATGCTCAGATTAGCCTAAACTATATCCTTGGGGTAGGGTTTGGGTGACCTTTGTGAGATGTAACTCAGATCTCCTTCAAGAGAACTTGTTGCAGGGAGCATGGGAGGCTGAAGGCCCATTTGCCGTCTCCCTGTATCCACCTCTGCTTGTCCAAGGTCATGCTACCCCAGGCCACTCCAAGACAACGATCAGGGTGCAAGCTCTTTTCTGCAGGGTTCAGAAGGCAGGACCCATCTAATGGGCAACATCTAAGATTCCTTGTTTTATATGACTTTAAAGAGTCTTTTGATGGTGGGACACAACACACTGACACTTGGATAGATCAAAGGCAGAACTCTCTTTTACTTACAGTTCTAATATGGAGGTAACAGTCATGCAGGGCCACATGGGAGGTTGGCCCTCAAGGACAGGATAACAGCCAGTTGGAGCTGTAAGGGGAGGGTTATGTATGGAAGTAATGTGAGGTTAGCTAGGTGTCCCAGGATCCCTGTGGAGTGGCTAACTTGAATATTTTTGTGGATGCTGGGGTCTGGGGGCTGTCCTCAGTTGTCTAGTTCCTGACCCTGAGTCTATTAGGGAAGGTGCAGGTGCATACTGTGTATAGTCCAGCGTGTGAAAGCCCAGCATGTGGTACAGACTTAATCAGCTGCTCAAGAAGGGGCACTCTGACTTCTAGCCAAAACCTCAAAACTGGGGCAAGGCCATATTACAAAAACAAAAACTTTATTATCTTCTCTGCCTGTCCAGTCCTCCTTCCACATGGCCTTCATGGAGGTCTGAAGGCTCTCTCTACCTTCTACTGCTGCTTCTGTTTTATTTTTCTTAGATTTTTCTGTTCCACTGGTAAAAATGAGGCATCTCCTTTGTGCAAACAAAGGCAAGCAAGCGACCACCTGTTCAACTGGAAATTTTCCTCGGAAACATCATAGTTTCTTAGGTAACATAAAATGATAACCATTTATATTTTAATTCAGTAATCATTATATTTTGGTCAAAAGCAACCATTGTTTAAACTTTCTTTTGCTTATGCAATGCTCTAAATAGAAATTTAATTTTATTTACTGAAAGAAAGAATAAACCAGGAAGTGCAGCCTGTGGCACGGCTGCTGGGGCGGCCATTAGACGGGGCAGCCATTAGACGGGGCGGCCGTTAGACGGGGCGGCCTTTAGACCGGGGCGGCCGTTAGACCGGGGCGGCCGTTAGACCGGGGTGGCCGCGGAGGGACAAGGAAGCTCTGTAGCTCCGGGGTCTGAGCTACTGCTGTGGCGATGGCGGACAAAGGCTCGAGGCAGGAGAAGCAGGGCGGAAGAAACAGTGGAACTGGATCCACGGTGGAAAAGCCGCAGCCGCCTAAAGTTCCAGAGCCACAGGGGGACATCGTGCCTGCACGGCCCACTGAGGCGGAGGCAGTGGGGCTCAAGGCTCGCGAGGAGGGTGAGGAGGTGGTGGGCGACATCTTGGCCGAGAGGCCGGACCGAGTCATGGATTCCGTCTTCAGAGTCTACCAGGACCGGCAAATGGGCCTGGATTCGCGTCCTTCAGACCTGTCTCCTCTCTCCCTGACCCCTGCCTGCTGGACTGACACCCCGTCTCGCCTCCGCAGTGCATTCCATATACAATCAACTGGGCACGGGAGACCATGCGCTTCACACCCCGGGATGAGGGAGAACCCCACCTGGCAGAGGACCCCACGTGGCGCCGCAGCGCCCAGCCCCTCCGCTGGGTTCCTGCCACAGCAGCCCTGGCGCGCGGAACCGCAGCTTGGTGCACCGCCGCGCAGAATGGGCCACAAGCCCGCGATGGCACGCCTGGACCCCGCGAGCCTGCCATGCCACTGGGTGTGCCCGCAGGTGGAGGTTCTGGTTCCACCCTCCACAGCACCTCCCCCGGAAGCCTACAGCAGGTGCCAGCGGGGCGAGAAGACCGAAGCCCCGGCCGGCCTGCCAGCCTCTGGTTGGGGGCTCCCCAGTGTGGCCCATAACCCCCCCAGATCCAAACTATGGCCAAGTGCCAAGTGGCCCATCGGCTTGGAGGCCGAGGCCAAGCTGCTGGATGAGCTGTGGGAGGGCCGCAGGATACCTCCACAAGGCCTGGTCCTCGGGGATCAGGAGATCCAGGATCCTCACAAGCAGTCTCACCCTGCCCCTAGAGTTCTCGAGTCCACGTTCCATGTGAAGGGGAAGCCCTTGTGGCTGGACGAGATGAAGCTGCCTCCTGGTGTGAGCGTGTGGAACCCAGCCACCCAAGAGCTGCTTCGCTGTGCTGAACCTCAACAGGAAGACGAAGAGGACAGCACCTCTCCTCCTCCCATCCAAACGAATGCCCCAGAACCCGAGGTGACGGTGGCAGAGCTAACGAAGAACTTAGAGCCGGAAATATCGATTCTCCCCTCCAAGAAAGTTTATGCGGAAATTATATGTGAGAGAAAACGGGGAAGAAGCTGGAAGAAGTGGGGAGAAGATGGGAGATCCACCAGACTGTCATCCAAGCCTGACCCTCAGTGAAGGAGAGAAGGCTGGTTAGGAGCATCTTAGGGTGCGGTGGAGTAATTTTTCCATTTTAAACTTTCCTCTCTTGTTTTGAAAGTATACACTATTTCTGTTCTTTATTGGTTAGTCTAAAAATTTTAACCTGTATATTTAACAGTGTCTTTAATCAATATCTTTATTTTTCTTTTAAACAATACATGGATCTTAGAATTCTTCAACATTAATCATTCCCTTTGAATTTGTATACTTTTGTAACCCAATATTTTAATTTTATTATTTCATTAATTTCACAAATCAGGTATTTTGTTATTTTTCAACAGTTGATATTTGCGTAGATTTACCCATGTGTTTAATATTTTCTTTGCTCGCTCTTCTTTTTTATGTCTCAGATCTTCTATCTGGGATTATTATCCTTCTATCTTGAAGAATATCCTTTAGAAGTTCCTTTTATGAGGATTTGTGGTAGACAGACTTCTAAGGTGGCTCCCAAGATCCCTACCCTCTTGTGTACACATTCTCTATAATCTCCTCTTGAATGTGTGAAGAACTCATGAACATGATGGCAGTTTACTCCTGTGATTATGCTATGTATCTCCTAAAGCGATTTGCTGATGTAATGAAAGCCATAACCATTTGGCGCTGTGTGTGTGTGTGTGTGTGTGTGAATGAACAATATTTTTTCATATCTACCATAGTTTTCTTTACCTCTTTCAGTTACATTTTTCTGTGTTTAGGTTCCTCAAAGCTTTCCAAAGTTTGTGTCATTCATTAATTTATTCATTAAATAAATAAGCAATTTGCAGCAACATGGATGGACCTGGAGATTGTCATTCTAAGTGAAGAAAGCTAGAAAGAGAAAGAGAAATACCATATAATATCATATGTGGAATCTTAAAAAAAAAGAAAAAAAGAGGACACTAATGAACTCATTTACATAACAGAAACAGATTCGCAGACATAGTAAACAACCTTAGGGTTACGGAGGTGGGGGTAAGGGGGTGGGAAGGGATAAATTTGGGAGTTTGAGATTTGCAAATGATAACCACTATATATAAAAATGCGTAAGAAATTTCTTCTCTATAGCACAGGGAACTATATTCAATATCTTGTAAAAACCTTTAATGGAAAAGAATATGAAAATAAATACATGTGTATGTATGCATGACTGGGACATTATGCTGTACACCAGAAATTGACACATTGTAATTGACTGTACTTCAATAATTAAAAAAAAGCAGCAGTTCTAACAAAATGAAGATGAATCGGTGCTCTTGACCCACAATAAAATACCCATCAATTCTTTAAATAAATTAAAAAAAAGAATAAACCTGTTCATATATTATTAATTGTTGATATATTGGTTGTTCATTGCATTCATAAGGCATGTCATGCTTTTAAAAAAGTTGTAAGATTTTAAAATTATTTTGGAATTGACTTCCATAGACATGCCATGTTTTAAAAATACTTTAGTTACTTTGCATCAAACCATTCAGCAACCTTTTAGACAGTTTCAATGTTTCCCCTCCTTCAGCACATGAGATAATTAAAAGTAGACCTTTAGGTATGCTGGTCTAATGAAATATTTTGTGTGTGGAGACTAGAAATTCAAGTTTTGTTTCTGTTTTATTTTAAAAAGAAGTTATGGCCCTTTATTCTTTTTTAAATTTTTTTTTACCAATTTACTTAGATGGTGACAAAGATAGAGGTACCTCATGTGTACTTTTTTCTGGAAGAAGCTAGAGGAAAGGCTCTTTGTGTGTGTCTGTGTATGATATGTATTAGTAATGTTCCTCAGTATTTGGTTATAGCTTCTACTTCTGAGTTTTTTGGACATGAGAGGCCACCTAAGGAGTTTTTTAAAAAGCACCAGAATCTACTAAATGAACTATAATAAAGCAATCAATTTACAGATTAAATTAATCAATTAATATTTCTTTTTGTAATGTGAAAGAAGATAACATTGAGAACTGTAAAACCTCTTCCTCATAGGTGGACCCATCTTCTCAGGCAATTCAAAAAAGACAAGCTGTCCTTCTCAGAGCACTTCAAGGTAGTATCCTGGAGATTACTGGGTAATAAGAGTAGGATGGATAATGCAGTGCACTGTTTCAAGGTCATAATTCCCCTAGATCTTTACCCTACATCAATTCTAAGATTATCAGAATTTTATTAACCAACTACAGAGAGGTTATATAACTTCTCTTGCTTCATTTTCCAGTTCTTTTAACTCAGACTTTGTGTAAGTTCAGATATACTGAATCTTCTCTGTGGTCTTAAATTTATAACTACCCATCTATAAAATTCTTAAGTTCAGGTGTATATATGTCATAGATACATCACACACAAGAATTCAGTACTCATATATTATAAACATACACATGTAATGCTCTGAAACACAGCTGTTACATTGCTGCATTGCTTTTATATCAAGCTGTGCACTCATAATATTTGTTTTGTTTACTGATGTGGATTCATGTTAGCATTTGTCTTAGATATTAAATGGCTAGGTGAAGAATGATATGTTTGAAATGAGTATGGGTTAATTTAAACCATATGATTTGATGACAATTTTAAGAAAACATAATACATAAGGCTTTACTCACATGGCTAATTTTCTTTAATACCCATATAGCAGGAATCATACCATTTGTTAAAAAAATGTTAATTTTCTTTATAAGAAATGTATAGCAGTTGAAGAAATACCATGCTTAGGATGGAGGTTGCAAACATGTTTCTCCTTTACAGGGCACTTGATAGCATCAGGGTCTTTAAAATTAAATATTTCTGATAAAACTATCATAGAAAAAAGGGCATTGGAATGCAATTTCAGATAGGGAAAACTCAAGCTTTGTTTAATCACTTAGTTAAAACTAGTTTGAATAAAATGAAAATTGACTGAATAATATTTCTATAAGAAATTACTACAGAAAAAAATTTACAGGAAAATACTACATATTAAATATTTGTGAAATAAATTATTAGAGTGTCTTACACAGTCATTGCAAATGGTGGCAATTCAAGTGTGATAAAGCTTCTTGTTGACATTTACACAAATTCTTACTCTTATAGACTGTTTTCATAGGATGGACAGAGTGAAGGAAGAGGGAACTGATAAAGGTATTGCCAAATAAAAATAGAAAAGGTTATGTCCCTCATTAATTAGATTATGTCCCTACACTCAAATAAGCAAGCAAACTACACTAAACTAAAAGTAACCAACATAAACCTGGTCATACTGATTGTTCCGTTGTTAGTTTCCTAATATGTAAGTCACGCACTTTTTATAAAGCAACAAGTCATTTCCATTAGTGTTATTAAAATAAGGTTAAATTTCACTAAAAATAATCAAACTGCAGAAAGAGCTAAAATACATTCTTATATCTATCATAGACTTTTAAAAAATTTACATAGGTAAAATTTAACAGGAAGATTTCCAAGGCGGACTTTAGATGTACTTTCAAATTCTTTCTCAAAGTGAAAAATTTTAAACATAGTTCTTTCATCAGTTGCATGATCTTTTCCCTTAAAGTTATATACTTTCCAATTTATTTAAATTTGTTTTCCACCAAATGAAGTCATTTGTACTAAGAGGTTAAAAAAAATGCTCACAAATCAAATCAGATCCCTGTTTAATATGCTGCTGTGAAATGTTGGGCTGTGTAAGAACTAGCAGATAATTAATGCTCCCCCTCCAAACATTAGTTCAAGGCACTGCTAATGAGTTCACCTCTTTTCTCTTTCAGACTTCAGCTCCATTAGCAGTGTTGTAATACTAAAGATAATTAGTGCAGGTTGTCAGCTTGATTTTTGCTAACGTTATGGTCTTTATTTTGTACTATATTCTTTAAGGATCCCTCTGGGAGACTGTGGACCACTTTGTTGGTGAGGCAGGAGCCATTCATCTTAGCCTAACAAAAGCACAGTTTAATTAAGAAGCGTTCTGCCATTTATTGTGTTCTCTAGACTACAATTTTGATGTTGGTCTATAAATGTTAAGATTTGTCAGATTCAATTTCTCTGCTCTAATTTCCTATCAGAGAAAATGTGATACCAGGCATGGATCCAATTTTCCTTTTCTATTAGCATTTATATTGACAGAATTAATGATTTTATTATCATCTTTGGCTTGTTGCTAAATAGCAGACATCATATTCCTTCTTGTGGATGGTTACATATATATAGTAAACTTATTGTCCCAGGAGAAATTACAACTCATTCTATTAGATTTATTTCAAGGTGACCAAGTAAAGTGGTGGGAAAAGAAATCAGAACAGCATTGGAAAAAGGATAGTATTCTCAAATAAGAAGAAAGTTTACTATTTTTTCTATATGAATAGTGTGTCCAAATGGATAGGCTTGCAAGATTCTGTAATATTCTCCCAGTAGGTTGACTTGTAATGCTTTTGATCCCTGATACCACACTGGAAATGAAATATTTGAAAAAGTGTAAATCCTACACATTTTCATGACCCAAGAAATACTCTAATGGGACTATGAACCCCCATTAGATTTGGAGTAAAATTAATAACATCAAGAGGTGATATACTTTGCATATTATTTCTCACCTTTTGGAACTCAGATTCTTCCTTTACTAGTCTAATCATCTCCCTGATTTAACTATAGTTTACCTATTAATTTACCTGCCAAATATTCAGCTTGGAGTGTTTTAAGTCCCTATTCATGAATAACTTACCTGTTACTTAAGGGAAAATGAATTAGTTGTACAGTTTTATGAAAGAAAAAAAGAGCCATGATGAGGCACTCCTGTTTAATGTAGTTCTTTTCTTTGCAGGTTATTACCATCAAATACTCACCTGGTACTGACCTTAACATTTAATAAGGGCATCATGTTCTCAAAGTTTACAGCAGTCATATATTAGAAACTTTTACATCAAGATAAAGCCAGGAAATTTTATCACAAAATTTTATTTTACTTTTATGTAATGCATGGATGAGTATATTTAAATATATTTCTCTAACATCTGTAGTAATGCAAAATGATAAAAGAGACTAGCTGGTACTTTTGTGCTCAGTAAGTACAAGAATAATCATAATCTTGCCACAAGAAAAATGAAATGGGAATATATTCATGAAATGTAATTAAATATATTTAGTATCCAAAT